TCGACAATTTGATCAGACCTCTTTCATGACATGGCCAAGTCTCTTGTTCCATTGCTCAATCTTCGACACAGATTTTGTGGATGCCACATCTAATGAACCACTTACAACCTCAGCCTTAAGGGTATACATGCTTTGGCTTTTGATTCATGTTAAGACTTCTTTCGACCCATTCATCACCCTTAGGATACTTTGATCTCCTTTGAAAACATATCCTTTCTTATCAAATTCACCGAGATAAGGTATAACGAGCGTGTGATGACAAGTGTTGGATGTTTAATTATTCATTTTCCACTGTATGTTGCAAAATGTTTTAGAATGTTTGAAAGGGTTATCGTGGTGACACCTTAAATTTTTGAGCAAATCTTTATTTTGGGGTTAGGGTATTACACATTCAGCCTCTAAAAACATTACCATTTGATAGTATTTCATGTTCTCTTTTCAACGTTTCAAACCGCATCTTAAAAGGAACCACAAATCTCAAGTTACGACATTTTTATTTGTACCTTAAAAAATTTCTCTGTCGGCCTGCGATAATCGACTACCAATACGTGTTAATCGATTACTATCCAAAAAATCCAAAAAAAAACTTAATTTTTAAGCTGGTAATCGATTACCATTAAGTGGTAATCAATTACCATAGAACCCATGACAAAAATACTCAGTTTTGGGCATCTAAATCCCTTCCAAAACCCTATCCAAACATGGCCTAACATACCCAAACAACTTATTTCAAAATTCTAAGATTATATATCAAAGTTCTACTATAATCTCATTATATTTTCATAAACTAAACATTACCAACAATTCATCAAAACCATCACTCCCACATTCATCAACGGTAGAAATTTATACATGTATAATCATGATGATTAAAGTATAATTCCAGTCATAAAATCATATGCATAAACCCAAGAAATCGTCAATTTCCAAATTGCGAACACAACAACAATTCATAAAACAAAATCATGGAATCTTAATGAGAGTAAGGACCTCTCTTCTCTATCCCATGATACAACACCCCTAATTGATAGCCCTTTCTCCCCCTTTTACATTGGATTTTCCAGCAAGATGCAACTTCAAGCTCTAACAATGGAGTCTTCCCTTAGCCCTAACATTTGCCTCTTCTCACCACAAAATTCAATTTTTATGTAAAAGTCCAGACTCTCTTACTTCAAATATATCTTAGGGTTTTCTACACACTTCTTCCCAATTATGTCATTAACCCTCAATTTTCTTAATTCACAGTATTGTCCAAACTTCCTAACTCCTTACTCCCCATTTATTTCTACAAATTCTCCATATTGGTCCAATTCTATCATTTTACTATTTTATTTAATTAATTCAAATAAAATACTATTTATTCTAGTTATTAACTAAAATTTTAATTAATTCTAAACAACTATGTCAAGCTCTTACTCTCTATATACCTCTACCTCAAAGATACTTACCCCCACAACAACACGGTAAATAATTAAAACACCAATTAATCAAATAAAATTTTAAATTATTCAATTAAATTAGTTAATCGAATTTGGGGTGTTACAATATACAATGTCTTAAAACGAAGTCGTGCAATATGTAGTCAAATGGAATGTTATACCGATAGTCAAAGTTGGCAATACTTTTTTGAAATGATACTCTAATTGAACCTAGTTACAGCTTCAACACGGTGTTCACAAGATCTCAACTTTTGCATAAATCTCCCAGACTAGTGGTCAACATGTTTTTTCATCTCCAGAGGAGACTCAACCCTAAAACCATAAATAGAAAAAGATGTTATAATTTGATAATTTGTAATAGAATACAATCAAAGTAACATCAATGTACCTGTTCGTTGTCGTGTTCTCTAAATGAGTGACTTTATTAATCCATGCAACAACAAAGCTTTATTTATATGGTGTTAACCATGTTTCATGCACATATTGAACAAATAAAGAAATATCAACACATACCACCTCAAAATGCTGCAAGTGTTTCACAAACTTAAACTCCCTATTCGTATACATGATTTTATTCCATAGATCCATAACATGCTGTTGTCTATTAGCTTCAACATACTCCTTGCACTTCTTACTAACATTTTTTGAAATATTGAACAAACACCACAAATGAGTTAAGTTTGGGAATACGAATTTCATGGCATTCGTCAACGCCAGCTCCCCATCCGTCACCTAAACCTTCGGTAGCAACTTCCTAGAAGCGAACAACTATTTCAGTTTCTCCCGTCACCATGTGGTGCTTTCCTCCCTTTCATGTTCCCAATAGCTAAATCCAACTGAAAACGTCAACTTCGTTGACGTAACGCGAAAAATCTCAAGTAGTAGTAGCAGGTATCTGTCTATTTTGTATGAACATTCAATAATCAACAGTTTTCCATAATCAAATAAATAAAAAGTTGTTTTTTGGATCGACCTTATTTCTGCTCTAGTACATGTATTTATCTTCATGAATAAGACTCATTAGATGTTACATAACAATAAATGGACCTCTATTTCTCGTCTTGCGTGTAGATCTTTCCTTCTACACATGGCTGACACTCGTGAGGCTTTTCGGATTTCTATCTTTCAAAGAAGCAAATATGTACCTATCAGCCATGTTATATTATGTCATGTAATTCACATGTTGTCTTTCATCATCTTTTAAATGGCCTAATATGTCATGGCCATCTAAATCTGTAGTTAGTTAATGATTGTGAAATCCACACCTAACCATCACCTTCAAATCACTACCACTCAGCATAAGTCTCAACATAAATGGATATTTAACTTTCATACTATATCCTCCTTAAGAGGAATTCTTCTTTTTATAGTTTCCCCCTCTCTCACAACCCATAATCAATTTATCTTTCTTCCCTCTGATCCCATTTGTGGTATCAGAATAAATAGTAACAACAACACTAATACCATGCTTAATAGATTTTGCCCATGCTAACACGCCAGCTTGAGAGAGAAATATTTGTCATTTACAACATATAAAGAATAAATTATCAATGATAGAGATACCGAAAATCTATCAAAATTTGAACAAGTTAAAAAGAAAACATACAAGTAAAACATAAAATGTCAGTGATGAAAAACCACTTAAAACCTGTAAAGGAACCATCAGAATCGGAACGACACAAATAAAAATAAAGTACTCTGAACTACCAAATTTTTTTATACTCAGCTAAAAATCCAGTATACCAGGATTTTCAAAAAAATTTAGACTTTTTTGATGTTTTAAGATTTTTCGAAAAATTCAGCAAGCAATATAGAATTCCCCAAAAACTCAAAATTTCTTATAAAAATGTGGTATAAACATATCGAATTTTTAAAAAGTTCAGTAAAAATTCCAAGAAATACCATATTATATTTTTAAATACGCACGATTTTTTTAAAAAATATGATATTTATCGGAGAATCCATATTTTTTTGAAAATATGCAACATTTTCCTAGAAAAAATTCGCTGTAACTGCATTAATATTTAAAAAATTTCGGTAAAAATGCAACATGTCTTAAGAAAATATTAGATTTTTTTAAAAATCCAATAAAACTCATCAATTTTTTTATAAAAATTTGATAAAATTGCATAATTTTTATTTAATTCCAAAAATTTTCGTATCAGATTTTTTTGTTATAATTAAGGTATTTCTAGAATTACAAATTCTCTAAAGTAAATATTTTTTGATAAATAAATAATGAGAAGGATATTTTAATCAATATGAAAATAAAGAGGTGTCCGCTTAAGTGTGGGGTGACAAATAAAAATGTTTCAATTTGTACGCAAGTTTGGACCGGGTGGGTTCAACAAACCCGACCCATATCGACCGATCTTCTCTAACACTCTCATGTTTTGTTCTTCCGTCTAAATTCACTTTTTTTTTCTTCCTTCTCTTTCTCCAACACAAGTTCGATTCATCTCCATCAATTCCCACTCATCTTCACGCTTCAATAAGCACCATCTCAAAAAATTGCTCTAAGGTGTAAGAAAGATCTATCCTTGATTACTATACGAGTTTAGCAGAATGATTTTATTTTTTGTTATGAGCATCTTTTGACTATGAATTATAATTGATCGATACAATGTTGATTTTATACAAATCCTTGTTGTGTGCATTTCAAATTTACTTTTTTTTTATTCTTCTGAGATTGGGGATTGAGTGGGAGTGTTTAGATGTTGATATGTTTACAGTTCAATTGTGCACACTATATGTTTGCTAAAATGCCACAGTGGGTGTTTATTCAAAATTTGCATCAAATAGTTCACTGAAAAGCGTTTACTTTCTTAGCTTGTTAGTATTATTAGTTATTTTGACAATGCATATCAAATAGCACCGACATCTCTTAAAAAAAGAAGTGTGTATGTGTCTGTGTCCGAAACCGATTGTGAATATATTCTATTTGTTCATTTTTCAAATTATTACTGGTGCGGTGTTGACGTGTGAGTGTTAGTGTCGGTGTCGGTGTCGTGTTTCTCTGTGTCTGTGCTTCATAGCATATCAATGACATTCTTAGTTTTGTATCATTTTCATTATTTTATTAATTATTTAGTTCATAGGTCTTTTGATTTTAAGGTAACCAGTATATAGTTCTTTCTTTCGGTACCGTGATATTATAGTTTCAACTTTCAAGATTATTGCCAATAATCGCGCATGCTAAATAGAAACATTGACCACGTGCAGATAATGAGGAACGATAAGACTGAATTACCGGAGCTGCGTGCGAATTGAGGATTTTTTTTTAGTCTTTTCTACCTTGATGTGCTCTTAGAAAATTTTGGCACATCTGTTGCCGGCTAAATAGTTAATTAGTGAACTAAGAGTGATGTATGAGTAGATTTAATAACTGTGGTGTTGCATTCATGTCCAAGTGTATGAAGCATCATGATTTTCTCATTGTTTGTTTGATTTTCTTTAAAATGCATCTTGCAGCTTTATTTTGCATCATATATTTTCAATTCGGATATTGTTTTAATCTATAACTAACTGGTTTGAATGGTTTAGTGGTTTGAATCAGTAACAATGGCTGGGAAGGTGGCGAAGGCAGCTTATGATGCGAAGATGGGAAAACTTCTTCGAGAGTACACTCAAGTTTTGGTGGTTTCAGCCGACAATGTTGGATCAAACCAGCTTCAAGGTATAAGAAGGACACTGCACGAAGATTCAGTGGTAGTGATGGGGAAGAACTCATTGATGAAACGCTCTATTATCCAAGAGGCGGAGAAAACTGGGAACAACAATGCTTTCCTTAATCTCGTCCCACTCCTTGTGGGGAATGTTGCCTTGATTTTTACCAAAGGTGACTTGAGGGATGTTAGTGAACGGATTGCCAAGCTCAAAGTTGTTAATCCTATTCTCATGTGCCCTAAGTATATGTCATATGACTCGTACAAAACTTGTACCTATATGCAATCCGGACAATTGCCGTTGGGTCTCACATGTTGTAACCAACAATCTTCTCAAGCTTCCGAGCCTTTTCTTGTAAGCTCAAAATTCTCACCACCTCAACACTGTTACTTGTCGAGATCGAGACAGCTCTTGGCGACAAGTATATGGTCTCCATTTCTTCTTTTGGCTGGTAATTTGTGATGCAGATGGAAGATTTTGATTTTGATCCCATGATTTATAATTCCATTAAGGGATTCCTATCATGAGATTGATCTCCCCCCTGGTTCTCTTTCCTTTCAAACTTTTCATTGTTAAATTCTTCTTTTTTAGGAAAGATGGAGAATGGAAATAACATTGTTTAGGAATTCTATTACAAGGACTTCTAATTTACTCATAAATTTTATCCTATGTTTAAACAATGATAGGGATATGTATGTCAGTGGGAATAGATCCCCTCATGTTTTATTGTTTCTCAAAAACATATTGTTCCTAGGAACTATTTTGCTTAACACAGCCACTGTCATCACAGCATGTTGCATCCTTTAAGAAGGTAAAGTTTTTGTGCAAGTGTCATTATTTAAATGTTTTAACGAGTGTCAATATGATCTGAAATGTTCTTGCCTCTGCTATCACAGCCACCGTAAATGTTATTGAAATGTTTAAGCGAGTTGCTTATGTCAAGTTTTATATGTCACAAGTACCTTAGAGATGCAACTAGTTTCTCATCACTGTCATTTACAATCTTCAAACTTGTTTCAATTGGTGTTGCAACATGATTACAATTGAACATGCTGAATTTCTAGCATACATTCCATGCTCATTTTTTACATTTCACAAACTTCTATTGTAGCAGAAAATTACCAATTATTTTGTTCTATGCATCCTCTAGGACTTTAGGCAACGATATAAATCAATCTCATAGTACAAATATCTTCGTCCTCAATTTGCCTGAATTAATAAATCAAACAAAACAAAAATGTTAAAATGTTTTTTAAGTTATAAGTGATAAAGTAGGTCCTTAAAAAAACAGTCTTGAATGATAGGACCCTAGTTAGTTGAGAATGACTTGCCACGTGAGCAGCTGATCCACAATGCATCAACTGGACCCAAGGTTTGGAAAATATATTCTAGAAGGGGCAGTAAGGGAAATAGTGGCTAGTTAGTTAAAAAAGGGTGACGTGTCCATGAAAGGGGAGCACTAGTAAATTCTGGAAATAGTGGCTAGTTAGTTAAAAAAGGGTGACGTGTCCATGAAAGGGGAGCACTAGTAAATTCTGTTTCCATGATATAAGAAATGAGAGAGGGAGAATAGAGGGTAGCTTAGATTTCAATAATATTCTCAGAATGAATAGATGGCTCCTGCTTCCTATTAGGAGCATTGCTTTTCTAAGGTCTAGGGATTGCATTTTCCTTTTTGTACTTATTCCATTATTTTTCAGTATAATAAAGCTCATCCTTCTCCTTAATTTTTCATCTGTATTTTAAAATTACATTTTATCTATTTTGGTATGTATCAAGTGATTCGACCTGTCGGGTACTCGACGTCTAAGCTAGTGAATGTCACTTAAGAAGGTGATGTTGTTGGCATTCACAAAGATGGAAGTAAGGGTCGAAGCATTAAAGAGTGAGATCTCGGAGGTGTGATCTACTCTCTTCGATGTGCAGAATTCAGTAACGACAAACCACATTAACCTGATAGCGATGTTGGAGAAGTGTTTGCATAAGTCGTTGACGGTGGATGAAAGAGACGCGAGTACTTCCGTGAAAGGCTCGTCGGTGGTCACAGACGGAGGCGATCCTTATAGCGCCATTGTAAACAGCTTACGTGGAGATGCTTTGACGAAGTTTCGTTGACCTGTTAAAAAGGTGGAACTTCTAGCTTTCAACGGTGAGGACCCAGCAGGATGGATATCACGAGCAAAGGTGTACTTCCGTGTTCAAGACACGACGCCGGAAATGAAAGTGAACTCGGCGCAACTGTGTATGGAAGGTGCAACGATTCATTTTTTTCAACTCTTTAATTGGAGAAGAAGAATGGTTGACATGGGAAGCTCTGAAAGAGGCGTTGTTAGAGAGGTATGGAGGACACGATGATGGCGATGTCTATGAGCAATTGACAGAACCAAAACAAGAAGGAACAATGAAGGAGTACATCACTAAGTTTGAGTATTTGACAGCTCAGATCCTAAAACTACCCGGAAAAAAGTTTCGTGGGTACTTCTGACACGGGTTGAAGTCGGAGATTACAGGGAAGGTATGAAGCTTTGCAGCGACGGGGAAGATGAATAAAATGAAGTTGCTCCAAGTAACAAAAGTTGTTGAGAGGTAGAAATGGAAGGAGTTTTAATCGTGGAACCAAATCTAGGTATGGGTCGACTCACAATTTGTCATCCGAAAGAAAAACTATATTTGATTGGGTCATGATAAGAGGGAGAAATATTGGGTCGAATGGGGGTGTAAAGAGTGGGTCAAGTGGGTTCAGAGGAGACAAAAAGACCCAAATTGATAAGAAATAGACTGAGCCCCGCGATAGGGGTTTTAAACATTTGTCTTATAATGAATTGATGGAGAGGAAGCAAAATGGGTTGTGTTTTAAATGTGGATGTCCCTTCTACCCTATGCATCAATGCCTTGATAAACAACTAGGGGTTTTGGTTGTGGAGGATGATGGAGATGAGGAAGAAGAGGCTCAACTGTTAGACGTAGAGGTGGATGAAAGTGATGAAGAGAAGGGAGAGATTAGTGCACTTAATTTGCATCACATTGCACACAAGGCTCACCACACTATGAAATACCAAGGGTCAATACAAGGAGTGGAAGTACCGATTTTGGTAGATAGTGGGGCAACATATAATTTCATATCTTAAAAGCTAATCCACCAAATGGATTGGCCAATTGAGACCGTTCCTCAAATGACGGTCAAATTGGGGGATGGGTTCCAAATGGCAACACAAGGGTGTGTGTAAGAAGATGGAAATATGTATTGGAGAGTTTAAATTGAGCCCAGAAATGACTTATTTGAGTTAGGTGGAATTGATGAGGTTTTAGGCATTAAATGGCTTAAAACATTGGGAGATAGTATTACTAATTGGAGGCAACAAACTATGAGTTTTTGGAGTGATAAAAAGTGGGTGACCCTTAAGGGACATGAGGGGTGCAGGGAGTCTGCAGTAGCCTTGCAAAGTATATTGAGTAAGTGCAGGCCCTATACGTAGGGGGTTTTGTGGGAAATGGAAAAACAAAAGTCCAAAGGAGTTAGAGACAACACTTTGCCTGCATACCAACAAGTAGAGTTGGACTTCATATTACACAAATATGAGCAAATGTTTCAAACACCTATTGGTATACCACCCAAGCGAAACAAGGAACACTCAATCACCCTAGTAGAAGGACAAGGAGCGGTAAACGTGAGGCCTTATCATTACCCACGCCATCATAAGAACGAAATAAAGAAACGGGTGAAAGAGATGTTGGTCGCAGGGGTCATTAAACATAGCATGAGTTCGATCTCAAGTCCGATGATTTTAGTGAAGAAGAAGGATTGTACATGGAGGATGTGCATTGATTATCGTGCCCTAAACAAGGTTATTGTACCTGACAAATTTCCCATACCAGTGATTGAGGAATTATTGGTTGAGCTACATGGAGCGAAGTTCTTTTCGAAATTAGATTTGAAATAAGGATACCACCAAGTGAGGGTGAAGGAGTCTGATGTGTGCAAAACGGCTTTTAGGACACATGAGTGGAATTATGAGTTTCTTGTGATGCCGTTTGGACGCATGAACGCTCCCTTAACGTTCCAAAGTCTCATGAACGCTCCCTGATAAAATCAATACAAATGAAAAATGCACTGTATGCGATATGCAGATGCGAATGCGATTATGCGTCGAAACATAGGACCAAATGCGAGACCCGGTTGGTCAAATTTTGGGGTGCAACAGCTCTCGTCTCGTGTTTCAGGTGTTTTTGATCAGTAGAATCGATTTTTGGGATATTTCGGTGCCCGTTTATTTTTACCGATTATTTTTGTGTCGTTCGGTGCTTATTTTGTCCCTCTGGGAATTATTGTGATTTTTCTGGATTTTATTAGCATTTTTTAGGGTTTAAATAGCTTTTAAATCATTTTTTAGGATTTAATAGAATTTTTGATATTTTTAATTCTTTTTAAATCATTTTTTTAGCATTTTATAGAATATTGATAGATTTAATTCATTTTTAGAATATATTAGATTTTAAATAGATTTTTAGGATTTAATGGTTTTTTTAAGATAATATAGATTTTAATAGGATATTAATAGGAAAATATATTTTTTACCTTTTTAGAATATATTAGATATTAAATGGTTTTGATAGGAATATATAGTTTTTCTTTTAATATAGAGATATTATAGATTTTATTAGAGTAATAGATTTTCTTTTAATTAGGGTTAATAGAGTTTAATTAGAAATAATAAAGTCTTTTTCAGAATTTAATATAGATTTTAGAATGTTTTTTAATTAGAGATTTATTAGAGTTTTGTTAATTGAGTTTAATTAGGTTAATCCTTTTTAATCCATTCAATTCAGATTTTGTAAGTTTTTTGTCCCATTTTCGTTGGGCCAAAGTCCACATTCGCAGGCCCAGGTTAATTCAAGGGTGTTTTCGTCCAGCATGCAATATCCAGAGAGTCCAAAAATGGTCCAGCTCCTTCCAGTATCTTCCAGAAGGTTCCAGCGAGTCTCAGCTCTTAAATAGTTCAGTAACACGTGTCCAGAGGAGGAGACCCCACCCTGCAACGTCCACATCACGCCACGCTGCCCCACACGTGGAGGGCATGCACGCCTCCACACGACTCTCCCCCTCCACCATCGTCACCACGTGGTGACCATGCAGCATCCCACCGGAAGAGAGCCACCGGCCGGCCTGCATGGCCGGCGACCGCCACAACCCCCACCGGCGAACTCCAACACGCCCAGACTCCGTTCACCTGCATCTTCTTCCTCCCTTCATCTTCATCCCTTCCCCTAACCCTCATCACCGGAAACCTAAAGATCTCCAGATTCCGGCCACCATGAGATCCTTCAACCAAAATCCAGAAAATCAATGATCTTCATCTTCCTCTCTTCATCACCTTCTCCTGGCGCCTTCATACAACCTCCGATCTACTTCCGGCCGCCGCGAATCTCCCCAGAACGGCTTGAATCTTCAACCAACATTCATC